GTTTACAATAGAAAAAGGAATACAAATGAATTTATCTGTATCACTGGTCCCCCAATATTGACTTTGCCATGAAAGCCCCAGAGTAGAACTTACATCAAGGTAGTCATTAAATTCCACATAAATAATCATGCTTGTTTTGCTCTTCAGTGCTGGGGATCAAACCCAGAGCTGCTTATGCCAGCAGCTCTGCCACTCAACAACATTCTTAGTCCTTATTTTTTCCATTTGAAACAAAGGTGAAATGTTAGAAAAAGTGAAAAGGCTAAATGCAAGAGAAATATAAATAAAATAATGTATGATTTTAAAATTAATTTTGAACTCTTCAAATATGTCTGTGATTTTTGTGTATTATACTTACTGCCATATATATGCCTGTAATCAGGGCTATTTAGGCAGAATGGAGCTCAGTGGTTAAGATTAAGGTCTTGGAGTAGCAAACTGCCACTTATTTGGTATGACCTTGGAAAAGTCACTTAACCTTTCAGAGCTTCAATTTTCTTATCTCTTATGCTGAAGATATCTGAAAAGCACTTTCATAATGCCTGGAACAGTAATACAGTAATAAATAACAGTTGTTGTTAGAATCATCAGTCCAATCTCTGCAATTTGTATTTGTAAAAGACATGTGGTGGTGGGGCAAGGGTTGTTCACTCTTGTATTCCTAGAAATATTACAGAAGGCTGAGATCCAAGGATCATGGCTCAAAGCCAGCCTGGGCACGAAAGTCCCTGAGACTCTTATCCTTAATTAACTACCAAAAATCCATATATGAATCTGTGGCTCAAGTGGTAGAATGCCAGCCTTGAGCAAAAAAGCTTAGGAACAGCATCTAGGCCTTGAGTTCAAGCCCCCATGCCAACATACATGCACATACACTCTTATACCTGCACACACCATCAGAGATGGCTATATAATCCCATATATATATATATATATATATATATATATATATGTATTATTGTGAAAATACCATACAGAGGGATTACAATTACATGGGCAAAATAATGAGTACATTTCTTATCAAGCATTGTTGCCTCCTCCTTTGTTTCCCCTTCTATCCCTTCCCATGTGCCCCCCCCAAAGTTGTAAAGTTCGTTTTTCAACATAACAATTTGTACATCTCATTGTTGCAATGGGTCCACCTATATCCCTATTTAAACCATTTGTTGTTTCCCTTCCCCTCCACAAATTATACCAATATTAAATACAGTGAAAGCAGGAGTTATACCATGGGGGAGGGACATACAAAGCAACAAAGAAATCGTCTTATAAATATGTTAGAAACAATTGCATAAAAGCAAAAACATTTGAATATTTATCTTGGGGTTTATTTCACCTAACATCAACTTATCTGACCTTTTCTGCTTGTCCCAGACACATACTAGTTATTGAAAATAAGGGAAACCATGGGGCCTATGTTTCTTTGGGCCTGGCTTACTTTACTTAATAGAATTTTTTCCAAGTCTTTCCATTTCCTAACAAATGGGGCAATGTCATTCTTTCTTATGGAGGCTCAGAATTCCATTGTGTATATATACCACATTTTCTTGATCCATTCATCTACTGAGGGGCATCTGGTTCCATATCTTAGCTACGGTAAATAATGCTGCAATAAACATAGTTGTGCTGGTAGCTTTAGTATGGTCTTGTTTGTGATCATTTGGGTAAATGCCCAAAAGTGGGAATATATTTTTTAATCTAAAGGTCATACATACTTGTTTCTCTTTGTAAATGGAAAAATCACAGTGGCAGAAGGACAGGTAAATGTTTGAAGAAATAAACAAACAAAAAACAAACAAGAGGCAAGAACCTAAGAATATCCACCAATATCTTACAACACGTCTATAGCCACCTTTGATAACTAGTTCAAACACTAATATTCAAGGCAAGAAAATAACCAATAAGTCCTCCCATCTAAAAACAGAAAACTAAGTAAGTTATGTTTTTCTATCCATTAAAAGGTAATAGAAATTTTTTGTTTTGTTTTGTCAGTCGTGGGGCTTGAACTCTGGCTTGGGTGCTGTCCCTCAGCTCTTCAGCTCAAGGCGAGCGCTCTACCGCTTAAGTCACAGTGCCACTTCTGGTTTTCTAGTAGTTTATTGGAGATAGGAGTCTCACAGACTTTACTGCCCGGGCTGGCTTTGAACCGTGATCCTCAGATCTCAGCCTCCTGAGTAGCTAGGATGACAGGCGTGAGCCACCAGTGCCAGGCAAATTTTGTGATTTATGTGGTTTTCAGAGATTAAAATCGGATATACTTCAAATCTACTTTGGCCTGGTTAGTTTGCTCCTTTACAACTGGGGCTCAGAATGTAGCCCAGGCTTGTTATTTTCCTGCTTCAGCCTCCCAAGAGCTTTTGTTCCACACATGTTCAGCTTCAAATCTACTTTATTTTCTATACAGATATTACAAAATATATCTAAGATAATAAAGCGATCTAACAAAGTGAGAGGATACCATACATTCAAGACTTTTTTTTCTTGCTTGATGATAAGAAACATCTCATGGCAGTGACAATGTAAAATAAAAAACCTGTCTTAAATTTTACCTGATTAGTCTTCTTAGAATAATATCTAACACATCTAATTTTCTATAACATCTAAGAGACTTAAGTATACTATATAATTTCATATCTATAAATAATTATAAGGAATTATTTCTAATTTGTATATGTAGATGCAGAGTTGAAATACTCTGAATATAACTATATTCTTGATATTTATTACCTAATAATTAACAGACATTTGTTTTGTATTGACTACCAAGCAGGCACTGTCCTAAGGACTAAGTAAGGATGCTTGTTCTGTCCCATTTCTGGGGCAGAAGGGCAGCTATAAAGAAATAAGGATATGTCTGAGTGTTAATAAACATTATGATAAAAAAAATGTAGGTTATGTGATTTTTAAAAAGTGACCGTGAAGCTCTATCAGACTGGTTGAACCCAAAAAAAGCTATCTCATTTCATTTTACAACACCTACTCAATAAGAGTGAGATTTGCTGCCAAAAATTATAGTCTTTCCTTTGAATTTATTATTGTTATTGTAAAGATGATATCCAGAAGGGTTACATAAGTCAGATAAAGAACACATTTCTTTTTGAACAATGTCACCCCTTCCCTTGCTCTCTCCGTCTGTCCCTCCTGACCCTACCCACAAATTGTACAGTTCATTTTCAACAGAGGGTTTAGTGAGTGTCACTGCTGCATTTGTTCATCCTTTGTCCCACCATTTTTGTGCCCTCCTTACCCTCTCAAAGATAAATGAACAAACAAGACAAAAAGGAAATGAAAACAAAAACAGCAACAAAAGTAAAAAACACCCTCTTGTTTTATTATTTTATATGGTCAGATGCGCATAGCTATTGTGCCTATATGATCCTTTCCTAAGAACATCCTCCTTTGATCTCACTGTGTAAATGCCTACAGACAATTTATCATGTACCAGTGTAATTTTTTTTCTCTTTTACCATCCAGTGTGTTTACTTACAGATTTATAGGCACATTCTAGTTACCACAAATGAGGGAAACCATGCAACCTATGTTTCTTTGGGTCTGGCTTACTTTAATATTATTTTTTCCAGTGTTTCCATTTCCTGATGAATGGTACAATATCATTCTTTCTGATGGATGTGTAGAATTCCACTGTGTATATATAGCACATTTTCTTGATCCATTTACCCACTAAGGGCAAAAGCTATAGCCTTTACTTTCATGCTTCTCCTTCTCTCTTGCCCTGCCCCCTGCCCCTTACTGGGGATCAAATGCTGGGCCTTGTAAAACTAGACAATCATTCTACTAACTGATGTACTTCCCAGCCCTTGGTGTTTTGACAGGGTCTTGCTCTGCAAAAAACAGTTTGGCCTTAAACTTGTGATCCACTCAGTGGGAGCTGGCATTACAGGTATGCAACATCACACCCAACGCTTGATAGTTTGGTAGTAACAAATGAACAAAATCATTACTCAAATATTTTAAATAAATGTAAACATTTTGCCAGGCTAGGAAATTAAAATTTAATAAATTATAATCAAATCACTTAAACTCTTTCGAGATATACACAGTAAACAACATATTCATGAGAAATGATCACAGGCAGGGCTGGAGGTTCATACCTATAATCCTATGTACTAAGGAGGCTGAATCAGAAGATTATCATGGTTCCAAGCCAGCCTGGGCAGGAAAGTCCATGAGACTCTTATTTCCATTTAATTACCAAAAAACTAGAAGTGGAGCTGTGATTCAAGTGGTAGAGGCGAGCCTTCAGAATGAATGTTCTGGGATAATGGCCAGGCCATGAGTACAAAGTCCAGGGCAAAGGAAGGAAGGAGGAAGGAAATAAGGGAGGGATGGGGGGAGGGGGAAGGGAGGGGATCACAAAAGAGAAATGTAGACAAATGACATTTTCTCGTTAATTTCATTTACCTATTACTTTTCTAAACTATAATACAATAATTTTTAATGTTCATGTATGTGCTGGCACTAGTGATTGAACTGTGGATCTCACCCTTTCACTTATCTTGCTTGTTTATGGCTACTTATCTAGTACTTCAGCCATACATCCAGCCCTGGTTTCTGTGATTTATTTTGCAGACAGAGTCTCAGGGATTTTTTTCCCCTTGGGGCTGACTTTGAACCACAACCCCCAGATCTCAGTTCCTGAGTAGCCAAGACTAAGCGTTAACCACTGGCATCCAATTAATCATTAAATATTTAATTTTGGGGCTGGGAAGGTGGCTCAGTGGTAGAGTGCATGCCTTGCATGCCAGAGGCCCTGGGTTCGATTCCTCAGCACCACATAAGCAAAAAAAAAAAAAAAGCTGGAAGTGACGCTGTGGCTCAAGTGGTAGAGCACTAGCCTTGAGCTGAAGAGCTGAGGGACAATGCCCAGGCCCAGAGTTCAGGCCCCATGACCCAACCCCCCCAAAATAAATAAATAAATAAATATTGAATTTTACTTAATATTAAATATATTAACATAATAAATGCAAATTTTAACTCACCTGTGTCTGTACACAGTGCAGATGATCTATTAATGTGTGCCCAAATCCAAAAGAAATCTGCAATGTAAACAAAGAAGCATGAGTAAACTCTGCAGTGTCCTGCTTGACTCTCTAGAATAGATATGAATTTTACAACTAATCTATGACTAACACATGCTTATCGCCATCAATATACAGTAGTAGTCATTAATAACAACTCTCCATTAGGTTTCACAGTAAATCAAGAATAGACTTACTTCATTATTTGTATTTATGCAAGACACTGCAAAAGTATAGAGTAACATTTCACTGAATTCTGTGGTGTTACCAATTTTGAGTTCTCATCATTAGACTACACCTCATCTACTTGTCTAATCACTAGCTTTCCTTACCAGACTAGAAACTGAGTACCAGCAAAGGCTCTAACTACCCATTTCCATACTTCATAACATAAATGAAATATTTACCTTAATTTGACATGACTTATAGTTTACCAAATATGAGACCTTTAAAAGGCTCTAAAGTACTTAAATAAAATTATATAGCTCAGCACTAAATATGTGACTCATGCCTGTAATCCTAGCTACTCAGGAGTCTGAGATCTGAGGATCAGTTCAAAGCCAGTCCAAGCAGGAAAGGATTCTTATCTCCAGCTAGTCACAGAAACCGCCCAAAGTGGCATAGTGGCTAGCGTGGTAGAGGGCTAACCTTGAGCAAAAGGAGCTCAGGGACAGCACCCAGGCCGAGAGTTCAAGCCCTAGGACTGCCTCCCCCCCATAATCTATGTAGTAACTTTAAAGCAGCAAACAAAATGACTGACTTTTGAAAAGTCTTTATGGAAGTAAGAATGTACTACTTATTACAACCGTAATAATTTGCAAAAGAAAGGTGCATAAGAAATGGAAGAAGTGTACATGTTTAGTGAGAGGAAGGAATCTATACATCATTTCCTCAGGTCTGTATCTGAATGAAGGGCTGAACCCTCAGCCAGCCTGTACCTAATCATTCCAAAGTTTCTTTCCAAGATACGCAGTGAAAAACAAGATGGAAATATATACTTATGACACCTCGTTTACTATTTACTACTATCGTGCATTCACTTATTATTTATTACTATTGAAGAAAAACTGAATGACAGCTATAATAGTGGTACTATGTAGCATTTGAGAAAAAAAAACAATAAATACTACTAGATTTAGCTTCCAAGAATATTTTTGACAATAAGCCAAGAAAGTTTATTTACCCCTTAGAATAACATCAATCAGTAATAATTTGTTTTGGATGATTATACTGTAAAATAGTATTAATTCTTCTAAGAGTCCTATAGTCTTTAGTAAACTAAAGGGGAAAAGCTAAGAAAGTATGCTCTGTCTTACTATGCTATAAATAGGTCACTGTCAGAAGGCATAGTGAAATAGCAGAAAGAGCCCAGCATCTTTAGACCTGGCCTTCACATTCTAGTTTTATCACACAGAAACTGCTGTTATGGTAACAATAATAGTTTATTATTACCATCAGCTTAGGTATATGACCTACTGTCTGCATCACGGATTCAACTATGGAAAGTTAGTACTATAATACCATCTTTGTAGCATCTTGGAAACATGTAATGATAGTAGGCATTATAATTAGGTTTCTACAAGGTATGATCATCTAAAAGTGATGGCTGGTATGATAGGTAACTCAGTGATATGAAGTAAAATGGAACTTCAGGCCCACCCTATCTCAAATAAAACTGATTTTTCCCTGGGGTGTTTCTAGCCTTTTAACTCTCCTGAAAGATACGCTGATGTGGAGACTGCTAGGCAATTTCTAAACTACGGCTGCTTTTAAACTCTATCATTTGGAGGCTGAAATTAGGAAGACTGTTGTTTGAGGTGAGCACAGGGACATATGAAACACCTTTCCCAACCATTAACTGGGTGTACTGATCATCCAGTTATATGGAAGACTAAGATAGGGAAGATCATGGTTCCAGGACAATCTGGATATGATGGTGTATACCTGTCATTCCATTCACAACAGGAAAGCTAATATAGGTGGATCATGGTCTAGGCACAGGCCCAGGCAAAAAGTGAGGCCCAAAAATATGGTTTAGTGTTGTTTATCACGCTTGCTTAGCAAGTGCAAGGCTCCAGAGTTCAAACTCCTACTACCACACACAAAAAAAGCCTACATCATAACTTACAAAGAAATCACACTACTTACTTCAATGTTTACTATAAAGTAGCAGTAATCAAAGCTGAAGAGTATTATTAGTATAGGAAGAACAGAACAGAGCTCATCTATGTCCATTCATATGAAACAAATGGTGTCATGGCAATTCAGTGATAAAAAGATAGTGTTACCAATAAATGGTACTGCAGACTGGTTACACATGTGGAAAGGGGAAAAGGAACTTCAATCTTTACCTTGCACCATGTGCAAGATTAACTTGTAAAGAATGTATCACAGATCTAAAGTAAACACTAAAACTTGGTTGAGGATGTAGCTCAAGGTGTTCAAGGGAAAAATTAAGTATATATCATAAAAGAAAAATACTTATAATGTGAACATCAAATTTTCATATTTCTGTTCCTCCAAATACTTCACTTTAAAAATGAAAACACAAGTGACAAAATGTAAGGAAATTATTTACAAACTTGTCATGTAATAAAAGATACAAATCTAGAATAAAGAGCTACATAATTACCTGATAAAGGGCACATGTCTACAAATCATAAAGAGCTCTTATTCAATAATAAGACAAATAATATAAGCTTTTAAAATAAACCAAGGAAGGGATGGATAGAGGAGGGATGGGTGAGAACGCCAAAAGGGTTGACACTGATCAAGATGTACTGAATTCATAAACTGCAACTCCTTTGTACAACTATTTAAAGATAATAAAATAATGCCTGAGCTATCAGCCTATAGTGGTTTTTAGGAAGTAGTAGAATCTTACATTTTTTGTATTAGGGACATTTGGATAACATTTGCAGGTCCTACAAAATTATCAATGTAGCAGCTAACAACAATCATGTCTGTCTCATGATATACCAGATGATTCTGTGTGCCTTATTGACAGGAGGAAGGGCCTAGTATAAGGAAGTTAATTACTGAAGTTGTCTTTGAAGAAAATACTGGAACCCAGCCCCCTTTCCTTTTCTTTCTCTGCTTCCTAGCTGCCACAAGGTGAGCAGCTTTGTTCCAACACAAATCCATCTCTATCATGATTGTTGTGCCCCACCACACACCCCAAAACAGCGAAGGCGGGTGGCCGTAGGCTGAAACCTCAATCAGGAAGCCCAAGTAAATGTTTCCTCTTGTTAAGTATTTATGTCATGTATTTTGTCACAGTGACAGAAATTTAACACACTCATCATAGGAAAAACACATGAAAAAAAAATAGTATCATTAGTCATTAAGAAATTGAAATGCAGCTGAGCACCGGTGGCTCAAGCCTGTAATCCTAGCTACTCAGGATGCTGAGGTCTTAGCAGTTTAAAACCAGCCTGGTAAGGAAAGTCCCTGATACTTTTATCTCCAATAAGCCACCAAAAAACTGGAAGTGGTGGTGTGGCCCAAGTGGTAGTGCTTGCCTTAAGCTGAATTGCTGAGGGACAGTGCCCAGGCCCAGAGTTTTAAGCCCCATGACCTCCAAAAATAAAAAAGAAATTTAAAATGCAATCAAACATCTTATACAACCAGATTGGGAAATACAATGGTATGCAATTTGGGAAAAGTGGGGGAAGTTGTCTCATCCAACACAGCAAATTCACCCTTGTATGTTTTAATTTCTCCTAGAAATGTCTACATGAAGCACTCTTTATAAATGCCCACAACAATCATGTCCCACAATAGCTCTGAAATGGAAAGGATACCAACGTTTACCAATCAGAAAAAGTAGTTCAAGCTAGGCGCCGGTGGCTCACACCTGTAATCCTAGCTACTCAGGAGGCTGAGATCTGAAGATCATGGTTCAAAGCCAGCCCAGGCAGGAAAGTCTGAGAGACTCTTATCTCCAATTAACCACCAGAAAACCAGAAGTAGCACTATGGTTCAAGTGGTAGAGCGCTTGCCTTGAGCTGAAGAGCTGAGGGACAGCCTTCAGGCCCAGAGTTCAAACCCACTACCGACAAAAAAAAAGAAAGGAAGGAAGGGAGGAAGGGAGGGAGGGAGGGAGGGAGGGAGGGAGGGTAGTCTATCCACTCCATAGAATGCCATTGAATAATAAAAAAGCAATGAGTTACTAAAATATATAACAATGTATATAAATCCCGAAAATATGCCAAATGAAAAAGGCTAGGCACAAAAACTACACTGTAGGGGGGAGGGGGGAGGCTGGGAAGGGATGTGAAGGGTAAACAAAGGAGGAGGCTGCAATGCTTGGTAAGAAATGTACGCATTATCCTGCCCATGTAATTGTAACCCCTCTGTACAGTATGTTCACAAATAAAATTAAATTAAAAAAAAAAGAGCTAGAAGTGGAACTATATATCTTAAGTGGTAGAGTGCTAACCTTGAGCACAAAAGCTCAGGGACAGGGCTCAGGGCCTGAGTTTAAGCTTAGGACTGGCACAAAACTAAAAAACAAAACCCTACAAATGTTTTAAATTCTAAAATAAAGTTGAATGCTAGATGTTGTAGCATATGCCTGAAATCCTACCTAGAGAGTTCCAAACCAGCTGGGGCAACATGGTACCCTGCACATACACATAAAAAGTTAAATAATATAAAATAAATATAATAAAAATAATAATATAATATATAATAAAATAAAATAACCAGTGTTCCTGCTGTTCCTTCCCATGCGATAGCTAACGTTATTGTGTGAGTGGAGGCAACTACTAAGGGTAAAGGAAGTTTTAGTAGCACTAACTAGCAGGTTAAGAATAATCAATATTCTGGGGCTGGGAAGGTGGCTCAGTGGTAGAGCGCTTGCCTTGCATGCATGAGGCCCTGGGTTCCATTCCTCAGCACCATATAAGCAAAAAGAAAAAAGCCGGAAGTGGTGTTGTGGCTCAAATGGTAGAGCACTAGCCTTGAGCTGAAGAGCTGAGGGACAGCGCCTAGGCCCAGAGTTCAGGCCCCACGAC